TACCTACAGAAAATCCGCAGAGAGAGTTGCGTAAATTTTGTACCGCCTTATCTTCTTTCCTAGTCTTTTCCTACGTGTGGAAAAAAACAATTTAAAACCAAAAATCTATTATCTTAATAAAAGATAGTTAAAAACCTGTGTAGTCAACGTTTTTAGTTTGTAATTAGAGTCTATTTATTTATTAGCGTACTCTCCAGAGTTTATTTAGTAAAAGCTCATTAATGGTCTTGGTAATGTATTTATTAAAATGGTACTTTCTCATTGGTAAAGGATTCAGGTCACAATTCTCAACTAATCGGTAGGACAAATTGGCCTTAATCTCTTATCAACTGGTAATCCTATATTTCTATCAATGTAATATGGGTTTATTTTGAAACTGAAATAGATTACACATCAAGAATACTTGATACAAGTCTAATACTACACGTTAAAGCAAGTTATTGATATTGGCAATCTGTCTCTGGAGTGTGAGAGGAAATAAAACCTCAAAGAAATGGCTTGCTTCAAATCACCTGAGTTATAGATGGGATTTAAAAATAAAAAAAAGAAATGCGGCCAGATTCAAAGTACTGAATGATAATTTTAGTTGCCATTTTGGCCACATAAATTAATTCTAAAAATAGTTGTTAGCTTACCATATTCTATCTCATTTTAGACAATGAAAGGCAATCAGTGTTTCTCCTTTAGTTACCACTGTTGGAAGTGATTAATCATTGTCTTTTTAATAGGAAAGACATGTACTGTATGTGTGGTAGAAGACTGTTTTTTATATAAATCCAGACGCTGAATTGAGAAATGTGAAATTCCATACAAGACCAAGACCAATGTTCCAAACAGCTTCCCTTCAATTATTCCAGTAATTGAGGAAATTGCTTTACAGGCTAGATGGTTGGTTCATGACAGACATAACTGAGACAATTCTATTTATGAATACAGCACTTTGGACCACAGTTTCAACACCCTACAAGCCATATAGAATCAAAAATGTGGCTTTTTACACACACTCAGAGAAAATAAAATCGCACTCAAGCTTTTTTCTCTGAGAGACCTACTTCTCTTACATTTCTTCTAAGAAAAGTGTAGTCATAAAATATCAAAATTGCAAAATACTTGAACTTTGTTTCACTGGGGTAACCCTTTGGACCCTTCCAGAATTTAAAAAAATCAAAGTGCATCTTTTTTGATGAATGCTATTTCATTCTCTCAAGGGCAATCATCATCAAGCAAATTATTTTTGCTTCTTTTTTTTTTTTTTTCCTACAGAGAAATATAACTTCAAGAATGTAATGCCATAGCTTAACCCCACCAAAATTATAATGGATATTAAAAGAGCACAGAATACCACGGCAAACTGTCCCAAAACTCTACTTTTACAGGCCTACAACTTCATGCCATGTGTGTCAATTTGCCAAAGTTTTTCTTCCCGCTAAAGGAGCTATAGCTTTTATCTTGATCCTTAAAATAACAAAAAACCCCCCCCCCAAAAAAAACCCCAGAAAACAAAACCACCACCCCCCCAGAAAAGCTTTTTGGTTCTAATGAGATTTTAATGGGTTTTAATACTTGTCTATGTCTTGGTTGCCTTGAAAAGTCTTGAAAACATAAATTAAACTGCTTGGGCTTCTGAATACCATCAGCCTACAAACACAATAGGTCTTGGCTAACTAAAGAAAAGACAAAATATTTTTCCTAGCCAAAGGAGAAATGTCAGCTAAATAAGGGAAATCAAGACGCCCAGGTATCCCCCTGCCAGAGACAGTGCGCATAAGTTGAAAGGAAGATCTACAACTGGGCAGTCAGCAGAGGACAAAGCCTTAACTCCCGACTGAAATCTAGCTGGGAGTTACAGGTCTACACCTGGATCATCAGGTACCTCAGGGCTGGCCAGCAGGAAGAGGATTGCATTCCAGATACGAATAGCTAAGCCAACACTGTTAAGATGCTGCTTGGGAATTTTCCATTAGGAAGAATGCCTGTAGCATCAGGACCTGAGGGTTACAACATAAACTCTCTCTAGCCTGCCAAATGCTAACTTCCAGGAATGATTGCTTCACTCAATGTAGGTTGCATTCCTTTAACTATTTTTAATAACTCTGAAAAGGTACAGGAACCAGAACTAAAATAAATTCTGATTTCTCTTGCCACTCTACTCTAAAGTATCTTGTCTTTTGCTAGAGACTTACCTTAACTAAAAGTTACCTGAAGTAAAATTATTTCTGTGTCATCCAACTGTTAGCTTGATTCCAAGGTTAGAGAAATTACAGGAATTTCCAGGCTATTTTTTTAATTGCTTTGAAATACATAAAATCTGTTCACAAAACATTGATCCTGTATATTCTCACAGTTAAATTTTTCATTAAATCAAATAGTAGGAACGAAATATCAGTGATACACATTGTTAAAAGGAGTAGGAACTTCTAAAACACAATTTACAACCCTTCTTTAAGCCCAAATGGAAACGAGAGAATGAGTCTCCCCCATTTTTATTCGTGTTTCCTGTATTCCCATGGTCTTAACACTGGCATTTTTTCTGCTCTTTCTTTTCCCATAACAACAGTGATCCATAGAGCACCACTCAAGATCTTCTAATGTAATGGATATGAGAACACACTTGGATTCTCTTTCTATGATGATCTGAAAAGGTCAGTTCCTAGTGTCTACGTTAATGAGGTTAGATCTTATCAACTTCTTGAATTATTATTTTACTTTCATAAATTACCCTTGATGGGCTTGGTCAGCAGAGTTACCAGATCAACAATTCTCTCGGCATTTAAGACTGTATTTGTCAGAGGAGAAAAGAGCATTGTTTATACAGGTTTCTGTAATATTTCAGATGTATTCAGTTCACCAGCCATAGCTGAATGAAATCCCAATACCGTTGATAAGTAATAAAATTTATTATTATTATTACTCCTTGTACTCCCACATGTAACAACAAATCAACATACCTTTATCTGTAAAACCCAAACTGTTCCTACCTGAATACACTAAAAGAATTACCGACCAGAATAAAAAATACTTTGCTGTATGTATTTTGAAGGTCAATTTCTTTATACTATGTCAAATAACAAGAAAAACCATAAAATTAATTTGAAAAAACAGCAAAAATTGACCTTTTAAGGCATTTATTTTAAGTCTGATTCACAGTCCTGAAAGCAGTTACGATTATCTACTTTCAAAAAAAACTTGTGGCATAGATTTAGTTATAAAATATGAATGAAAAGAACCACTTAAATACAACTGTGCGTTACAAAACACTTGAAAAAGTTCCAGAGACACTGATAGGCATTTCTTCACCGACTTCCATATGAGCACACAGTTCATAAGAACCTAGTTGCCATAAGTACAATCACAACTTTCTGTAGAAGTCGTATTGTTATCTCATGATATCAGGATGCTTTTCCAAGGTTGATAGGTAAGGAGATACTTAGCTTATCAATTGAATGACATAATTTCTCCAGAAGCTACCTAAGAACCCTTTGTACTTTGCCCAGTTCCTATGTGGCACCAATGCCTTGCCACCTGAGTATCCTCTCTCTCTCCGTTCCAGAGAACTGTACTTCCAGGATGTCTACAGCACACGAGGGTTTTGATCCCAGCCCTTGTCCCAATGCTTGTACCAACACACGATTCCTTGTGCAGGCACTTACCATCCGAAAACAGGAACGTGACGCACCAAGCACAGACCTCTCCCAGGGAGCGGCTGAGGGAGAAGGGCTCCTGGCCAGAGCCACGCAGGATCCCTGCTTTCTGCTGCTTCTTTAACAGCACGGACATACAGCCCCTTATTCAAGAGTTTCTCAGAACACCCCATTCACAGTCAATGGGGCAAGAGACCTTGAGTACTTTTGAAAGAGTCACATTTCACATTTGTCCCTGACTTAAGCATCTAATCAGTTGTTGGGTAACTGTTTGGACACAACAGACAGAAAAACTTCAGCTTCAAAGTGCCAAATAACTAAGACAGAGTGGTATTTAAATAAAATCCAGGCGAGCCACACAGTACAGATTCTCTCTAGTGCTGAGACATACTCGAACAGCATACAGAGAGCTGACCTCCTTCATTTAATATCTCTTGCAGTAAGAGAGACCAGGTTAGATTGGAACCAGTAACGTAGCACATTGTATTTGACTTGATATTCCCCTACATCGATACAGCTACATACCCAGGTACTATCACATGAGTAACATTTAGATTCCTAGGTAAGCAGCTGGCTAATTTTTTTTTCTTGCCCAACCAGACACTTTCCAGATCTGTATAAAGATGACTTCATCTTTTGCCTCAGATTCATTTGAACACAGAGAAAATATAAATATATAAGAAACTGCCATTTCCATAACCCGCAAGTGAGTTGGTAACGTGTGAGACTGCTGCAAAGTCTCGCCTACTGATGGAGTCATCAATGTCTGCATGATACTCAGAGCCTTCACTATATACACTCCTTCCCCTATTCTTCTTCATTCCCTCCTGTCTCATATCACATTCAGTAAGACGCACACTCAAGCTCCCTGCTCTCTTTCTGTACTCCTCCTTCTTCTGCACTGTTACCCTTCCTTCCCCCTCTTTTTTTTCACTAAAAAAAAATTAAATCCCCCTCCTACAAAAGCTTACTTACAAAATTTACCACAATGTCTGACATTGCAAATCATTGTTGTGCTCCATTTGCTTGTACATTAAAACTCTTATCATGTTAGTTTCATCATACAAACTGCAACCTTTCCAGAGAACTGAAAAATCTCTTATCAATGTCTAAATGGTTGTTAGCACAACGGAAACCTTCAGATGGGACCACACACAGCTCAAGACTATAAACTTATGTTGAACCATATGAAAACATTGCAACAGTTTTGCTTAAACACTGAACATTAAATATATCTTATGTATATACCTTGGAATAGATAAATATATGTATGTGCATAACCATATACATTGCTTAAACACTTATATATATATGTCATTTAAAAATAAGTAATCTTTTTCCACGTCTAATACACTTGTCCTATACAGCTTCCTTAATTGACAATGAGAGCTTTTCAGAGTGCATTATATGGATTTTCCCTGAAACAGGAGGAATAGAAAAAAATTCATAAGATTTTTAAACGCTTTAGGCATCAAAGCAGAACTCTCCATTTTCCTAGGCAGAATATTTCAGTATCAAATTGTAATTGAGGAAAACAGAAATTAGGAAAATTTATACTGATGGTGAATGTGCTTGTAGGCTGAAAAAGGAACGAATTAAAAAGCAATAAAACAGTTGTACTAAAGTAATAAAATATATCATTTTGTTTCGGAAAAGTGTTTCATTTCAAAATAAGGTTGCATGTTCAAATGTGAAAAAAAAAATTGAAATATGAAAACACTGTGACAAGAGCAAAGGAATTTTGCAACACTTCAGCAACCCTTCACAAACTTGCAGTAAGGATTCCCCCAAAGAGAAGTACAGCAGCTCACGTTGCTCCTGAGGAGGAAGGAATTAGTGCATTAAGCAGATTCCAGCAAGCAGAAAATAAAAGCCTCAGTATGACCTGAAAAGGATCTTTGCTAAAAAAAAAAAAAAAAAGTTTAGTAAATGTCCAGAGAAGAAAAGAAGTTAGACCATTTTCTTCATTCTGTAGAATACTGATGATTGGACAACTTCAGCAGGCTATCAGAATGGTCAGTCTGTAATGCATACACATTATGTACATTTAAATGATCATTTCAGAGGGGAAAAGAAATCCAGTTCCTACCAGTTTGGCTGAGTTGTGACGTGCTGCGGCTTTTTCGCGAGAGACCCACGATGGCGACCATCTTTGCGCCGATGCTGGAGCGTCTCTTTTTGCCACCACCGCCGACAGTGCCCACGGCTGTGTCCGACTGGCTGCCGTCGTTCTTCTCCAGTGTGTACATGTCCCCGCCGATGCTGGTGCTCTTAGTCATGTTCTTTCCTGAGGCGCCCATCTGTCTGCTTTGCATTTTGGATGTAAAGACACTGTCAGCCAGTGGATGGATAAACAGCGCAGACAAAGAGTAAAAAGGGGAAGACAGAAAAGGACAGGTTTCAGATGGAAGGTTTCGGGAGACTGGAGGGTCAAAGCAGCTAATTCACACAGGTAGGGTTTGGCTTTTGAGAGGTAAAAAGGAGCAACTTTAATTCTAGGTTCCTGCTTGGTCTTCTGGAAACATATTTGACTCATCAAAGGTTGGTTTTAAATAACAAGCTCTTATTTACTGATTGTCTTAAAACACATTACCAGCAAAAGCACACCAAAGAAGTAATACATCCATAGGTCACGTATACACTTTTTGCTTGGGAAATGTAAGTTCTGCAGTCAGTGCTCTGTCCCTCTTCTTCTCACGTATATACATACAAATATTCTATATTCCTCTGGGAAACAGATACTAGACTCATTACTGAGTGGAAAAGGATATCAGTCTGGAGCCTAGCTTTGGTTTCTAAACATCCAGATGTTTCAAGGATGTTTTCAGTAACCAGGTTTAGCGCAGTCATCCTACAGTAGGCTTTTTGCTCCCTCTCTTCAGCAACAGATAGGTGTATCAGACATATTTCAGACACTTGGCCACTATGTGGTTTAGGTCATAATTACTGACAGAATGGAATTGAGTTGTAATATACCTTTTGTACTCATTTATAGGCTGTTTCTAGGTCTTCTGTGTGGCTGCATCCACATTATCTGCTGCAGCATTTTGCAACATGCCCCAGGGGGACCTGACCTCCCAGTGGTCCAGGCTAAGGGACCTTTCCTTTGCCCAGAAATGACAATCTACAGTGGTGACAGCAGTACCTATCCAAATTTTGCCCTGACATCTAACTGGTAGGTGTCTGGACAAACATCCAGACCCGGAGCACATGTGTGCCTGAGAATACATAGAGAATGTTTCTATTTCAGTGAAGTTCTTGCACTGAACTTAGACATTTATTGTTCTGTTCAGTATAGTGCATCTCACTAAAAAGTCCCTGTGAGATACAGTCTTAGACAATTCACAAAACAGTGGAATTCACAAAACAGTCTAGAAACCAGGGGAAATTATTTTTGTGTTAAATCACCAATATATAAACACTAACACAGAATATATTTGCTTTTTAATTATATTTTCAAATACATGCAAAGGCTAGTCCTACAACTTTACTACTCAGCAGATGGCTCCAGAGTAAATTGTAGTGGGTATAGCCACACTCCTTTCCCCTTACCTATAATTGCCTGAATCTATTACAAAAAAGGAAGGTTTTATTGCTTCTTTATGAAGTTTTTGCAATATATGTTCTGTCAATAAAAACTTATCTATGGAATTAATGTGGTGCCCTCAAAAGCAAAAGGACCATTGCATCTCTTCCCAGTGATTCCAGGGGAATCGGGATGAGGCATCAGATTTGGAACAGCAATGCAACTGTCTGAGATAACTAAGAGGTACCCATGAAGTGCTCTGCTTTTTAGCTGACAGCTGCACGTGCATGAAGGCACAAAATGCTTTGAGTTAAGCCACAAACCAGAGGAAAACACAAGGGGTAGTTTTTAGAAGTGGACCTTTATCATCAAGTTAAAAAATACTCCGTGCTTCTCAAGAAAGTTATAAGGGAAAATATGAATGAGAATTGGGATCAACAGATGGAGAGGCACATCACAAATCTGAGAGAGAGCCGTAGTGGCCTTGCCTGGACAGACAATAACGAAAGACTGGAACCCAGGGGTAACCTGAAACCTTTTTTTTTATCCTTTTTTAACTGCCTTTGTTGTTCTGTGTTAGTACACACTGACTCACATTGGTACATTTATCAGTAAGGGAAGAGTGGGATAGGATGCTGGGAAGAGTGGGATAGGATGCTGGGAAGAGGAAGGAAGGGAAGACAAAAAAGGGGATCTGTATTTCTGGATCTTTTTAGCACTATGATAACTTGTCAGATGGCAACATCACATGCTGTGTTTGCTTTCCAACTAGTACCTTGAGAGACTGCTTCCCAGAAACGAGATGCCACAGAAACCAGTTCTTAGTTTCAACACTACTTTGCATATAAGAAATACTGCAGATCTGCGAAGAACAGTGTTGGGAAGAGCTAGAATCTTCATCTTACGCAAAATTCTTCTAAGAATCAGAAAACTAGAGCCCCTTATCCAGTAATGCTATTTTCAACTCAAGTTTTCTAAGGAAATATTATTATTAACGTGACTGTGTTTTCTCTCAGGTCTCTCTCTTTTCAATATTTTTAAAAAACAATTCAAATTTGACACAGAAGCAGAAAGCTAGAGCTATTTGGTTTCTAAAACTGTTTTGAAAACAGATCCCTGGAGAGAAATCTTATGAGTGCCCCTTTGGGGAAAGATTGTGGTATAAGTCATCAATGAATCTCTGTTATTTCACGTAGGAGCTCATTCACACACACAGACTGATGGGGAAGGAACATTTGCACTGCTTGCAGAACAACCTCTTCCAATGATCCATTTTTCAAGTATAGGATCCATAAAATGAGTGGGTTCCTGTCATATAGAAAATAGTAACTATGGCATTGCTTTATACGTGATATTAACATTGAAGAAAGGGCTTATGTCATAGCAGTGAAACCAGAAATATTCTGTTTTCTCCTAAAAGTTACACTGAGGAGAAAGTTCCCACTTCCTGAGTCTAATATGCTTTTGAGGTGCTTCATGTGTCATTTCCTGAGATATATAATTCTAAGTGCAATGGATTACAATAATTATGCTTGTTAAAGAAATTGAAGTGCTTAAAAAGGTTGGCATCCAAACTGCCTATAATTTCGCTACGCAGTTAGCTGTGAAAGTACTGTGCATGACAAAAATGGTCATGAGCACCTCCTTCATCAGCCCTCTGAACAATTTCTGGCCATCCAAACCCTCTCACTAATGATTCTTGGTAGATGTTCGGTTTCCTCACCAGTGAAGCTATCCTTCTCCCCAGGCTGCCTTTCGACAGTGCCAGAAATGGATTATTTTCAGAAAAATCTCGTGTTGTGTGTCAGGTTTGGTTCCTTTCTGAGGTAACAGAAGGATGGACTTGAGCGTAAAAGAGAGCAAATCCTACAACCTTTTCTCTTAACAGTTAACAGAAATCACTGGAAGTTTTCTTTGCATGCACATATGCACAAACATAACCACACACACATCCAGTTAAATATGTACAGCAATATTTTAAAACTGACATTAAATAAAAGCAGTTTACGAGATGATATGAGTCAATGAATAGATACACACTAAAACCAGGGCTCTCAAGGTGCCTCATAAGATATTTATCTTTAAAATATCCTCTGCAAAGAGAACATGCAGCCAGATGGCAGAAAAAAAAAATTAACTATGCTAGTCCCAATCACATGTGCATAATAGCATAATAATCACTCTTATTAGAATCAAACAAGAACAAAATCATCACACAACCCCAGCTGTGTGGCAGCCCACAGCCTAAAGCAACAGCCAAGTGAAGGTGACAGCCAGGACGCTGACTTTGGCTCATGGGGACCAAGCAGTCAACAAGGGCAGGGTGACGGGCAAAGCCCACATGGGTCCATTGTTTCCTGTGTTACCCCTAAATCCAGGAAACCACCAGAGGACACCAAGAACTGCAGACAGGTGTCTGTGTAAGTATCTAGTCAGATGCTTCAATTTTCCAGTAAACAGAGAAGAAGGTAAGATTTCTCTACTCAGTCTTCCACTTCAATCACTTCCTCTTCTATTTTTTCCCAGCTGTAAGATGTAACTTCGCACTCTTCCTAAAATAAAGCATTCCTCTGGAAGCTCCTCACAAACAAACAGAGGGAGTACTGAAATGCAAGCTGAATGACTAAGAAGAGCTAAGTGTAAAAGTCTGAAATCTGATCATCAATTAAAACTTGAAGCAAACCCAAGACAGATGTTAAGTATTTTTATATTTTTCCAAGTGATAATTATTCCGGATAGTCAGGGTCAAGTTGGACATGTCAGCTTCTTTGGTATTTACTGTTTATAGAATCACAGAATTATAGAGGTTGGAAAAGACCTCAAGGATCATCAAGTCCAACCGTCAACCCAACACCACCCAACCCACTAACCCATGTCCCCAAGCACCACATCTACACATTTCTTGACCCCCTCCAGGGATGGTGACATATGGCCACCTATAAGATGGATAAATTCTAGAGGAATACATTCTCAAAGCTAAAGCAGAAAGTTCTTCAAAGCAAGACAAACATAAGACATTAGAAAAGAAATGAGGAAAGACATCTATAACTATTTGTCATTTAAAACCAACAGTGGAGGATGACAACCCTAAGCGCCATATATTATTCTTAAAAATATACCATGCTAGGCAACTGAGGGGAGTCAGACTGACAGACACCTATGACAGGAAATTTAATATGGTCCTTATTGTCGTTGAAGACCCCTGTGCCACACCTGTAGTACTTACTAAAATGGCTCAAGCCTGTTCTATGACCTCGACAGCTTGCATACACACAGCTGTCTTACATCCTTCCCAAAACACAGTTTCCTCAGGCGTGATGCCTAGAGGAGACAGACCCTGGACCCATGCTATCTCCTGAGTTGTGCCTGGGCTGAATCAGGGACACCTTATTGGTGTGTCCAGCACAAAGCTATGCCATGGGGACACAAACTGTTTAAACAAACCATATTGATGATCAAGACTGTGTCCTGGCCCTATCTAGCTTACTGGTATAGACATAGCCCTACATTTCTTGACGATACCACAAATCTCAGATTCTTTTTAAATTCTGATATTCAGCCAGCCAATTCTAGCCCATAAGATTTTTATGAATGCTTTTGAAGAAAACCAGTAAGTGCTAAACTGCTCTTTATACATAACCTTTTGGAAAAGGCGATGTTATGTTTCTGGATTTCTTAAAGGTATTCATCTTCAAGATCTCTTTGCAGAAACCCAATTGTTTTCAAAACAGGGAGTGCAATTAGTCTCTGGAATCAAATTTGCTGTCCAGGTTTTCCAGACTCCTACTATAGCAGATAATCAGTA